TCCTGTGTTTGAAATTGATTCTGAAATTGAAATTTAGCATTAGTTTGTCTGTTCTCAGTCATGTCAGACGAAAATCATCAACATTGCCTTTTCAGAGTATAGCGTAGATTATTGTTTCACTACGGGAACTTGATGCCATTGAAACGGATTTCGTTCGAGAATTTGGAGTTGTCAATGTCTGAGATTCGCATTTATATCGCTGCTTTCAAAGCAGCGAGTTGCAGAAAGAGATATAAAATGCCGTCACTGCATGTTTAATAAGGAATATGTCTTGCAATAATAACGAATAAAAAAGAAAATGAATTCAAGATCCTCAGGGTACATCTGCCATATGGAAGGTTAATTTTATTACTCTCTTGCTGCAGATATTCTTGGCAGACGCTGCTGGTAGTGCAGAGGGCTCCCTTTGTCCCGAGTCAGTGATTGCTACCTATATGGAGAAAACTCACTTTAGAGCTTTTCCAACAGAGCAGTTAAATGTCTTCTGATTCATTAATACAAGGTCCAGTGTAAGGGTTCTCATCGTGGAAAGGCAGCATCTCTGTCCCGGATGCAGGGAGCTTGCGTTCTAGTCTCACCTACTAAACGAGTGTGTGACAACGTCTCCAAAAAGATTGTTCGGAAAATACCTGCAATGACTATAGCGCCCACTGAGCAGTACCAGTGATCAATGTCGAACTGTGGGTCTGTTCATTTCAGCAGATAATCTGTCATATTGTCGACTTTCTGACTGCTGGCGACAGTCGAGGGTAGGGCATTGCCATACTGCACCTGCATCCTTGGGACAGTGTGACCGAGATTCGTAGGCATTTTGCAATTTAAAGCAAAGTGCTATTCGGGCCGTTTGTAGCATATACAAACATCTGAACATTCGGAACAATTTCAAATTGAGCATGGAACTGATATTGTCGTCTCCCACTCAGTGAAGACTGCCCCTGTTCTGGGTTACAATTCAATATCAGTCAACTGTGAATGTACATGTAAAATATTTTTGAGGTGTTGTGATTCAGACATGTTGCTGTCTTGAGTTTTCGTTTTAACTTTGCTGTGCCTCACAGCACAGCAATAGACCACCATACCTTCCACACTCAGACTGCTTATTCTGAGATAACCGCACCTGTTACAGTTGTCAGCAGCTGCTATATACGTGGTCCTGAAACTTACTTATCCTCTGATATTACTCCTTTGGTTAAATTCTCTGTTGGATGGTGCATCGTTTTCTGCAGATATCACTGCATGTAACTTGCGTTCAGGTTGCTGTTGTTGTAATTCAAATTCACAGATAAACTTCAGCCATGACTGTGATCTCCAGAGACTGCTTTGCTCGATCTGTGCATAGTGGGTATGGAGGGCTAAAGCATCAATTCGTTAACAGTATCTATCCAAGCATGTTTGTACAAGAGCAATTATGTGGAGAATCTAATCTTCGGAGCTGTCCTTTATTTGGAAATTTTGTCTCGGTAATTATAAAAAACACAATAGCAAACGTTGAAGAATTAATGAAAAACGTGATGAATATAAAGCAAGACAGAATGCGTTAAGTAAAGACATGAACGATCAAAAACATTCCGGATTGCATCTCTGTCATTAGATTAAAATGGAATGAGAACGAGTTGCGAAGAAGAGAGCTAACCCGGAATCTGTTCAAATCATTCATTGTCGTTATGAGCTCACCAACACAGCACAGGGGCCATGCCCATTGTCATGGAACATCCTGCAGAGATACTGGTCCACTGTAACCTCACTCACTGAAGGATGCCTGGCCTTTCGTGACCTCCAACACTGCATAGGTTTCCGTCAGCTATCACCTTACTTACCGCAGCTGTACAAACACATTAGCTGCTGACTAACTGAAGGGAGACAGCCTCGTTGTGACGTCACTCGTTTATGAATATAGGGCTTTATTGACATTATTCGACTTGAGATGCCTCGTGATTGGGGTGTTCCCGTCACATTAGACACTGGTGAGGCACTCTTCGTGTATGTATCTCGTTGAATAAAGTTTGATTGCATCAATGAATGTGTTCTAGATTTATTGGTGGTCATAACAAGGCAGAAACATGACAAAAAGGTTTTCCCAGAAGCTTTGTTTGGAGCTGCGTATACTGAGAATTTAAAACTGTTGATGTTTATATCTGATTGTCATTACATAACAATTTAAAACATTGACTTTCAGGTAAATGGTCAGTTCCCAATCCCATGCAATATGGAATTCGATCGCCGAGTGGTGTTATCGATCGAGTGTTAATCCAGAGACATGGGTAACCAATTCGAAGCACACAATTTGAATCCTCTGAAAATCTTGATTTAGGAGTCCAATGATTACCATAAATCCATTGTCGATTGTCAGAATGTGGTTCACTCGTGATATTTAGAGAAGGAAACTGTCATTCTTGCCTTGTCTGTGACTCCAGACCCACAGCAATGTGGATGACTTTCAACTATCCTTTTGGCTAATAAAGATGGGCAATAAATATTAGTCTACTCGCGATGCCTTCATCCCATGAATATATAAAAATAACAACAAAGGAAAATAAGTGTTAAGTGTTTGTGAAAAGTGCGTTCAGGACAGAAAGCCCGGGTTCAAGTTTAAACTGTGACGAATAACTCTGGGAAGGTTGTTTGGAAAATAATGGTTGCAGTTACAACATTAAGATGGTCTTGTCTGGACCGGTAATCCAGGAAGTCTCACCTGGTCCAAAAATGGCAAGTCCCACACATGAAGGTTGTTTAGAAAATACGTAGGCCAGCATTGCAGTGACATAAACGAATTTGAGCTAGAAAAGAAAATTAGGTTACCTTCGTTTCTTTTACAAAAAAGGTCGGAGTAAGACTTTGTGTGTTCAAAGCTGTGCCCTTTTGATTGGCCGATTCAGCTGATGGAGTCCATCAAAATCAAAAGTATTTTAGATCGGCATCATTGCAGTGAAAGATAATTTTTGACATAATAACCTTTAAAATATCAGAAACAGAGAGTCTAATAAGAGGGAAAAAAATTCTATGCGAAATCATGAAAGGAAACTGTCAACAATTGAAAAGTAAATGGGCGATAAAAAATGCAGGTGTGAAAAACGATGGAAATAAGTGTTTCAAATAGGTTCAGGCAAAATAATTTAAATGATTTTTGTGCCCGCTAATGTTGTCATATTCGATTCACTTTATGCCTCCTGTCCACCCGTATTCCTGCTTCAGTTGGTCTTCAGTAGTTAACAGTGCACAAGTGCAAATTGTAGACAGACTTCTCGAGATCCCAGCATGACCATTTCCGCTCCATAACTGTGACTGCAATCGACAGCCATCTCACGCCTTCTTCTTTCTTTTGATATCGCATTTGACAGCCCACTGTTCTATTTTGCTGTGGGTAATCTGTTCCGAATTGTTCAATCGAGAGATTGCCACTGCCGTAATTGGCGAGATCTGCAACAAAAATGAAAATGCGATCTGTTATTCTGCTACAACTGAATGTTTCCCGCTCGAAAGACTGATAGGCTCAAGAAGTATCGAACAGAACCGTCTCTTAATCCCTCCTCATCATTAACTCACGACAGAGTGAATATTTCTTCTCTGTAAAACTCCACTCTCCCCGTGCCTGATGTAAAATCTGCAAGAATGGTGAAGATGATTGTATGGATCGAAATGAAGCTAGTCCTAATTGTTGACGTCGCTATTATATTTAGTTACTTCAGCTGTAGATAATAGTGTAACATCCAATTATTGGTATGACTGTTGAAGGAGAAATTGATGAAACAATACAATAAACCTTGAACACAGATATTCACACTAGATCTGATATAGCCCACATCCATGCAGTTTGGATGGAGTGAATGAGAACAGGAATTGCCAAATTCTGAAATGGTTTTCTCTCGATGTTTAATAGAATCGTAAAAAATACCAAAGTAACAAACGGTACTACCCTGAACTCTGACGCTGATATCATGAAAAATACCGAATGCCAAAAAAATCTTGACCGAAACTCCATAATGAGATCTCGATGTATTGCTTGGCAGACAGCGCGATATTGACATAAAACAAGTGAAATAGCTTAAAACCCATGGTTTAAAGTCAAGGGACGTCTCCCTCAAATTCAGTGTGATGTTCAACATCATATGAGCACTGGTTTCCATGGGTGTCTTCATTATGAGGGCTTTGTCTAGTCCAATAGCGTTAAATATTGCCAAGTCTGCTGAAGCCTCTGTCTTGTCGACTCCACAGCAAGCTTTTCAAATAAACTATGCTGAAAAAAATATCTATTAGCTCCTTATGTAGACTATCCTTGCGTGACTGACACAATATAAGTGTGGACTAACATATCTCGTGATCATCTTGATATTCTGAAATTTGAACATTATGTCTTACTTTATGCTGCACCAATTCCTGTCTTGAGGTGGGGAATGGGTTCTACAAAACACCCACATTTTTTCACTTATAATTCTATTTCTCCACCCAATCGTGTTCCCCATCTTAATTTGCATTAATTATATCATTCCCTCAATGATTCTTATGGTGCAATTAAATAACATAGCTAGCCTCCACCATCTATTTATTCCTGTCACTTTATACTGACACTTGATAGTTTTTGTTTATCCTCTAGTCTTATCTCTTGATTTTCTTTCCTTAAATTCGTACTCTCTACACCTTTATGCCAAGACCAGATAGTCATTTTGTCATATTAAAATGCTTTTTTTCTTGACGCTTTAATTTGCCACATTTTCTAAAATTAAAGTACTTGTCCTACTTTATTAATTTGAAATCTTCTCTACTTACATATTTACATCATTTGCATTTGCAAAAGTTTCAGCACCATTCAGATTAATGTCGTCTCATCGTGCAAATCAGGCATTCCACAGTGCCAGTTCTGACGCTTGAGTTCTGCCTCGTGAATCGTTCAGCAAAGCACACATCTCCAAATTGCTTTTTTTTCCCTATTCCATGCAGTCCTGGCATAAGCCAAAGATTCGGTATGACAATCCACATTTTGCCTCATAATTTTCAAACTGGTACCTCCGAAATATTGTGCAAAGCCTCTTTGTTTCTTCTACCTGTGCCGTCCGTACATTTGTGGCGCACGAAGTTTGGATCCTCTCTCTCTCGATTATCTCGATCACACTTCAAATACCTCTGCCTTAGAAGATGTACGAAAATCTGACATTAGACTAGTAGCATGTAAGATTCTGAGAGGGATTGATAGTGTAGATACTGAGCAGGCCGCCTATCCTTGTTGAGTAATCTAGAACGGGGTTGGGGATTATCAAGGACGACACAGTTTCATTCAACAGGGATTTGTGGAAGAATTCATTTTCTTTTAGGATCATCACTATTTGGGATTCTCTTTCAATGATGACAAATACTTTCACTTCATAATGTCTAGTTAAAGGGAGAATGAAAATGAATAACCGAAATTTTAAGATAGAGCACGATGGTGAGGAAGACTCACAAACAACCAGGGAACAGATTGCAGAGCGCCAATTGTGTTAATTATTTAACTAACTGTGATTGATCTACAGTTAACGTGATATCTGCAAAAGCAGCCTATTGCGACTTTGATAAATGCTGCTGAGTTTCTCAGTAAGTGGACTCTCTGGTAAATCATGTATCCCGGGGTAACTCTGAGCTATTGCTGAAAAGATTCGGCAAGAGAAAGGGGAATATGTTTCAAGGGTTTTCTGGCCAGTTTTCCATTAATCTGGATCAAGAAAACAGCGCCATAAAAATACGCCGGCACTCTTGTCATCTACTCTGCCATGTACTACCGCGCACTGAAGCCCACCCTGTGACAGAGGCACAGTCAGTACGTTTTAAATAAAAGAAAATCATGACAAACCTCCTCACTGGTTTGGATCTGTCATCCCCATTGTGTATTATTCTTATCTTTTTCTTTTTCTGAGTTGCAAAGTGTTTAGAATCCTTCTCTATAGTGTCCATTGTTTATGTTGCAACTCTTTTCAGGAGCCAAACCACAACAACGTTCATCGTTACCTATCACTGGCCAAACTCATGGATTGACACTTTTAAGAACCTGCGTTGGCATTAATTCCCATTTCGTTATTGTGTTATATCACGGACAGTAGTAGTTTTCAGCTATTTCATACCATGTCGATAGAGTTGTGAACTTAACGGGAAAGGAATTCAAAGGTTATGCATGAGGGTGGATGCATCAGAAATTACAACGGCAGAGCAGGTTTAAAGGGCCAAATCGTTTTCTGAACCACCGAGTGTGTGTTTTTGCGACTAGTTCTTTGACGCTATTGATTTCAGAACAGAGGCGTTGTGAGCAGTTTGGGTGATGCGTGGTGTCCCTGCCAGAAACGAACCAATCAATAGTGATTTCGGTTTGACGCAACATCTTCCCAAAACTCAGCTTAAACAATTTGGCTCTCAGCTGAGACGATTCAGCTTTAGCTCGCTCTTTTTAAACCCACCATTCGCGTTCTAAATTTTTCGGCTCTTACCATTTATTGATTCCTAACTGCTGAATTTTTTTAACTGAAAAGTTTCTGAGTCGCAAAATGTTCACTTGTGTGCAAAATGGGGAAAGCAAACTTTTTTTTTTGCCTGTGGTGCTCCGGATTGAAATATATGCACTCAATTTGTTAACATTGATTAAAATTATCTTTTTTAAAGACATTGTCTTTTCAAATTTTGCAGGTGTTAGTTGCGCAGTCTCAGTCTCACAAGAACCGGTTACAGTGATTCCAAAGGAAGGAAATGCCGTGACCATTCATTCCCACTGTTCAACCAGAGATGATTCATTAACTTTACAACTGGATTGTCAGCACCCGGGTCAAACATCGTTATTCTTGATCTACATTCCTAAATACAGAAATGTCTTCAGAGTAAATGGTGTTGGCGTTCGATTTTCTGCGTTCCTGGACGCTTGGAAAACTGAGGGGAATGTCACTATTGGTGAGCTGTAGCCATCTGGTAATGCGGTGTATTGCAGCAGGCTGAGCGACACATTGACTGGAACCAGAAGGCACCCTGTATAAAAATAAAGTCTCTGGTAGAGTCGGGAGTAACATTTACTTCCTAACTTTATGCCAGAGTGCGCTGAATCCGAATAAACCAAAGTAATGGCCAAGAGAGAGACACTCAGCACTGGGCATGATTTCCTCTCCACACTTACATTGAATACATTATGAAAAAAAAATGCCAATATGTGATTAGAGTATGTACAACTTACAAATTGAAGTCATTGTTATCTAATTACTGTCGATTCTACAATATCTGTCAACGTGTTTTACCCGGTAAAGAAGTTGCACAAAGCAGCAACTGCAGATCACTGTAGGACGCGTTCTAAAATGAGAACAGCGCGATCAGCCTTATCTGGTTCATCTAGATTTCAAAAACAATTCCTTCAATCTTTCTAGTATGATTTCAGGTCGGCTTTGGAACTCGGTCTGGTTTCTGGTCATCCGGAAACCACTCGAGAACCTAGAGCTCACCAGGTCTGTGTCACAGATCACATCAGTATTTATCTCTGTTGATTACCTTGTCACTCTATCATGATAACGTTTTCGTTGCGCTTGCGAGTACTATCTATACTTGGAATTAATATGTGCAAGTTCTTTTAACATTGCGAGATCTGTAATCAGTGTATAATAATTATTAGGACTTTCACCGCGCAGGTATCAGTGCCTACTGTAAACTGATACTTCAAATAAAACATAGTAATTCCTTTGCAGGGAAGTCTTTCTCAAACTGCCAGGCAAGGTCACATCTCGTACACATTAAGTATTTGCTTGCTTCATGGCAGTTGTGAATTCACTGATTTCCCCAAATAAACGGTAGATGTTTGCTTTTTTACACTGCCACTGTCAACGTCAGAATCAGTAAATCATGTGAACGATTTTAAATGAGGTGTGTGAGAATTATGCTCGAAGTTTTGCTGCACAGATATGTACGAAGCATCAGTGTGTGAAACCCAGTTATAAACAACCCTCAACTGGCAGCAGCTGTGACCCAGAAAACTACAGCAGTTATTGTACGAGACTGTCGCTTTTTCCCATGACTGTGAGGCTCGCTGCACAGTAATAGACAGCGGTGTCAGACAGCAGCAGATCCGAGATCGTCAATCGGTACAACTTGTTGGACTGCTGGACCTTACCAGAAAACCGTTTCTGAGCGAAATTCGCCTTAAATTCATCACCACTACTCTCGAGATTCCGGACTGCGAACTCGGGCTTTCTTCCACGGGACTGGCGGTACCAGAACAAGTAGTAAACATTACCAGTGTACGTGCAGGTTAAAGTGACATATTCTCCCTCTGTTTGCGTGAATGAGGGCTCCCGCTGAGTAACAGAAACTCCATCGCTCAGATCTGAAAGACAAAGTCAGAGAAAGCTAGAATGATTGATTCAGTTGAAAGTTCGAACTGACATTTAAAAAAAAAACCTCAAATTCGCTGTGACATGAAAATAGACAGGATTTTGAACATGAAATAAAAAACATCACAAAGAACACAGTATGCCAGCGAGCGCAGTTCTGAAGGTGGCTTTTCGGATCAGAAATTGCTTTAATTCTGTTCCTGTCCATGATGCTACCAGACATATGGAGTTCTCCAAGCAATTTTTTGTATATTTCTTTTGAACATAAAACCTAAGTCAGAAAACCTGCCCAATATCGGTGTTAGCAATACATACGAGAATCCATGTTGCACAATGTTCTAATTTTGCATGCCCATATTTCCATCATCTGTTTAGCTGACATCCCCTTCATGACGTTTTGGCCTGATTCAAACACTCCCTGTTCTGAGGCGAAAACAGAATTCCCTTAAATTTTCTTATGCATCATTATTCGGACTCTAACGAAGCATCACAGGGTGGATCGTACGTTTTGAACGTGATTATCTCGTCATACCGTGATCATCACCCCAATTACACTTTTTACGAGTTGTGTCCCTTTCTTCTTCTTGCAAGACATACAGTAAATCGATTCACAACAGCTCAAATGAAATGCAATTAATGTCTCATGCGTATTGATAAGAAAACTGGTTTTGTTCACAAAGAGTGATAAAGAAACTGAACCGTTTCCTTCAGTGTAAAACTTCTTACCGACAATGAATGTCACCGAGAACAACATGGAAATGGAGAACTGCATCGCTGCTGCTCAGATTCCTGGTCATGTGTTTGTGCCACATAAATCTGCTCAGTCTCGAGTGAAAGAGAGCAAAAAGCCCTGAGATCATTGTCTGTGAGTAGGCTGATGTCACTTCCTGCACAGGCGGTCGCTGCTGATACTGCATATAATTGGGTGTCACTTTCCCTCAAAAATCGATGTTACTGACATTAACCTCACATTCTGGTAATCGGAGAAAAGAAAAGGATAAATATCGACAGTCTGACATTTAATAAATCTAACAGTCTGGTCTTTAATCTGAAAGATGAAACTCAAAGAAGTAGAGGTGCAATGTCGATGAAGATCCTCAGGTAAATTCTTTGCCGTGACTACTTATATCGAAGTTGATGGACTTGGCATTGATTGACTTCCAACCAGAGAAACAAATGATTTTTGTCACTGTCGGCAAAGACACATGGCTGTGAAATGGACGGCAAGAAGCCAAAGTGGAGCTTATATCCTGAAGACACAAGAGCCAGTGGAAATTGTCCATTTGCAATGTTTCGGGATCTCTTTGGTGGGCGCTGGGAATGATTGCCGAGGATTCTTCCAGCGAACAAAACTCCAGTGTTCGAGTGATAGCAGGAACTGCAGATGCTGTGGAATCCGAGACAACAAGGTGCAGAGCTGGATGAACACAGCAGGCCAAGCAGCATCATAGGAGCAGAAAGGCTGACGTTTCGGGCCTAGACCCTTTATCAGAAAATCTGCACCTTGTTGTCCAGTGTTCCAGTGTTGGACGCAAATACTGAAGAGCAATTGACGTTCGGATGTTCTATGTTTCGGGCTTGTTTCAAAGATCAGAGTCAATCCTTTGAGAAGTATGCTCATTACGCATCCACTGTGGATGAGTTAGCAATACACTCCCATCAAATAAACCAGATAAACGACCGCAGTACAACGTTCCAGGAAACTAACAGTGGATATGTCAAAAGGTTGACCAGTATAACACACATGCAGAGAAATTGCTCCAAAGACAATAAAAAAAGGTAATCCAATATGTGTGGAGTTTCGATATTCAGCGCTTGTCTCTGTGCGTTTCCTCCAGGTGTCCCGGTTTCCTCCTAAAGACCAAAAACGTAAGTTTGTAAGTTATTGAAGTATGTTATCGCCTTTAGGTTTTACGGTATCTCAGTGCTAATTCATATTCCTGGAAGGCCGGGTACCATTCCAACCTGGATTGACTGTCTGTGTGGAGTTGTCCATTCTCACGGTATACTATGGGGGATCCTGATTCTTCCCACAGTCCAAAGGTGTGCGGATTAGGTGGATTGGACATGTTAAATTCCCCACAGTGTCCATGGATGTACAGGCTGTCTGGATTTGGCTTGAAAGCACGGGGATAGGGTGTGTTTTGGTGGGATAATCTTCGGAGACTTGCAACAACTCGATGGAATAAATGTCCTGCATCCACGCTGTAAGGATTCTACGATTTTTTTTTTCCCCAGAAGGTTTCTGCAATTGTGAAATTATTGTTTCTGTTTCTTGTGTGAGAGCACCATCTAATGGATACTACTGCAACTCTCCGTGTGGGGAGGGGAATGAATGTGTTTGGAAATGATCGACATATCTCTATATCAATGTTCACTTCATGTCACAGATATGCAACAAGCTGTCAGGTAGAACGGTCCCGAAGATATGTACAGGAACCGTTTTGTCTTTTTTGCTTGTTTTATTCAGCAGAGGACCTGTTTGCTACATTTGAAGATTTCTTTGCAATTCCCGTGACATACATCTTCAGATCGTATCTCAGAGTTTTCCCAGGCTATTTTGTGTACCAGAACAGCGCCATAGAAGGAACACCTGTGTGTAATGACACTCGATTATCACTCCCTGAGCTTGTAGAATCATGAATTCAGATGAATACTGAGGCACCGAATCCTGCCCACCCAATTCTGAAACACAAATTCAGAATGATTGAAAACTCAGCAATAACGTATAATTCCTGGATGATATACCAACTATTTTACCACAGTCTGTGCAGACAGGAAGATAGTGAATATGAAGGCAAACACGGGAAGCACATAATGTTTGGATGAGAGTTTAGTACAAAAATAAGCCAGAAGGTTTTCGATATGTTTACCCATTTCAGAGTCAGTAATCACTTATTGAGAAATTGAGTGGAGTTTTTCAGGAACAGGGTTTACTGTTCTGTCAGAACCAATGACAGTTACGCTCCAATCAATGACAGTTGCATAAAATTACTTTCCCCTTTCTCTTTCTCAGTGAAATCTTATGTCATTCAGTTCATTTTATCAAACTCGTTGTCCATCACTGCCTGTACATCTCTCTGCCAAACCATTCAGCTTTTCATGACGGTGCGGACTCTGCGGAAAGAAAATAACCAAAAAAAGAAGTGTTTCACTCTTTTGATAAATAACACCACATCGGATTTATTTTCTCTTCTATTTTCTGCGTTTTGACATCCCCTCTCTCCCATCAACTTTTAAATTCTAAAACCTACCCAGAGGGAATACAAAAAGGAGGATGTGAACTTCAGTCCAGAACAACGCGGGAGATGAGTCAGAGATCGTGCCAGTGCGGCGGCGGATAGTTACAGAGGCGAGGTGCGGGCAGAACCTAGCACAGGACGAAGTCCGACATTAGGCCAGCTGGAGAGACAAGTCATGGAACCGAGTCAAGGGCCAGAGCGGGGCGCGGGAGGCATTCTGAGACCAGCCAGTATGACAGACGAGTGCTGGCGGCGGATCGAGTGTCGGAGCCGCGAACGGCAGGTAGTCTGAGCCTGGACAAGTCTTGAAGACAATTTCTACAGGCGAGTCCTAATTGTGAAATAACGAACTGGAAACTGGCGTGGGAGGGATTCTGAATCGTGTCCAGCCCAGGAGATGAGTTTTGATGGTGGGTCTTTGGTCAGAGGTCAGTGGAAGGAGGCTGTGAGGCCTCGAGTTCTGAAGCCTGGCTGGTACCAACTCAGATTAAAGGACCATAATTTGACTCCATTTTACAGATGATTTTGTTCTTTGTCGAGACTTTGAGGAATCCGATCATTATATTCCTATGCTAGATTTTTGTTTACTCTTTCAATTCTTTAACAAACACCTACATATCTCTAACTAGGCATCCTCCATCTAAGATGCTGCCACAGTGGTGACATTACAAGATTTACACTGCACTCATTCGAGTGCACACGATACAAAAGTATGTTCTGTTGTATTTAACCTCTTTCTATTTGTCTCCTGAAAAGACAATAGTATTTCGACTATTAGTAGATTATTAAGTGGAACGTCCCCAGCGCTTGTCAGCGACATTCTGGAAGATGGACTGATACTGAACCACACATTAGGGAAAGTGAGAAACAGTTCAGAGAAAGACCTTCTGCTTTCAGAACTCGCTTCAACGGGGAACGTATAAATTTTATGTTCCAGTGAGCACTTATAGTTCCCATCATTGGTTGAAAGATTCTTTTGTCTTCCACTGAAACTCTCAAAATATTGATGAACTATTTAGATAAACGTTTTATATGTGAGGACACACAAGTCTATGGGCCAAATGCTGGAAACTGAGATTATAATAAATGGATGTTGATGACTGGAACTTGCAAGATGAACTGAAGGGCCTTTTCCGTGCTGCAAAAAAAATGACCAGATTAGTCTCGAGGAAAACAAATTCTTCAGTGAAAAGAACTTGAGATAAAGAGATCAAAAACTGTGTCATTAAGAAAGGATGAAAGCCTGGGAGTTGTCTTCCCTGAGAGGTGGGTGTCGTGTTTAGGATTTGGGACTTTCCGTCCCGCAAACTAACTTTGATTTCCGGTAATGAAAGGGAGATGTTTTATTCTTGTAAGAACCGCTAAAATGTCTGGCAACTCCAAACAGTGACAACAGCAAAAACAGAACATCTGTGTTGGATTGCTGATGGTTTTATATTCGATATGAAAGCATCACTAGGGATTGGGATCATTTCGCATATTCTTCTGCAACAAAAACAGAAATTGCTGGATAAACACAGCAGGCCTCGTAGGATATGTTAAGAATAATCAGAACTATGAATCAGGACTGGACAAAAATTCAGGCCTCAATGACATTTACTTCATAACTTGTAGTAGCGACAAAACAGTTGGTTTTATTGCAGAAGATAGCAATAAACTAAATGTTGATACGGACCACAAAGGGAGACAAACAAAGTTGGAGGAAAAATTAGTGGATAACGGTCAGCCTATAAGAATAAATAGCTGCTAAAGAGAATTATTCGTGCCTAACAATGGAAGTGGCAGATGTGGGCATAATTACGACGTTTAAAAGGCAGTTAGATAAGGAAATGAACCGGGAAGTAAATGGGTCAAGAGAAGGAAGTTAGGACTAGTTTACTTTGGGTTAATGTTCGGTATAGACTAGAGAGACCCAAGGGTCTGCTTCCGTGCTGCATGATTCTATTGATAACAAGGCCTGATGTGTGGGTTTGGGGGGAAGTGTTGGCAAGGATCTGAAACCCAAAAAATGTTGAAGTCGATACTGAGTCCGCTAGGCTGCAGAGTAATCAAACAGCAAATGAGGTGCCGTTCTCACAGCTTGCTCTGACCATCACTGGAGCACGGCAGCAAACCTGAGACAGAGATTTTGACCGGGGAACAAGGTAATGCGTTGAAGTGGCAGACAACGGCAAGCATGGGGGTATTTTGCGGACAGAACGTAGGTGTACTGTGAAGCGGTCTCTCCATCTGCACTTCATCTCCGAATTTGGAGGACAGGAATATAGTAGACTATGTTGAGTGAAATATAGGCAAAATGCAGTTTCACCTGGGAGGTCTGTTTAGGTTCTTGGATATTGAGAAATGAGTAAATAAACGGGCAGGTGTTACGCCTTCTGCAGTTGCATTCGAAGGTACAACGGGAATGTAGCGAGCGATGGGAGTGAAGAAGAAGTGCACCTTGGTGTTCCAGATAGAATTGCTCTTGTACAAAGCAGACAAAAGAGGGGAGTAGAATATGTCTCTGGTGGTGCCATCCCACTGGATGTGGTGGAAATAGCAGCTAATATTTCTCTAGTTATGCATTCTGATTGG